TGATTTAGGACACTTAATATATTTTATTTGACCTGATAAAATAAAATATAATTAAAACAGTCCGAGAAATACAACTTTCGGGGCCGAATATACAGTTCGGGGTTTAAAGGGATGACCTCCCACATATGTGGGGGCCATCCCATAAATTTGGTCACACAAACCAGGGAGTTGGCCGGCTGGTTTAGTGGGTGAGCATGGGGAGGGGTGTGTGAAACGAAGTAAAAGGCATCAAACAAAAAGAGCTGGGCCTCCTCCCACACCATCCTTACTATTGAGACAAAAATGCAACCTCCACCCTCTTTCCTTGATCATTTCGGCCAGCCCATCCCGATCAAGAGAATTTTTTAGGAGAGCTCAAACAAGCAAGAAGCTCAAGGAAAGAGAAGAGATCGTAAAAGTAGAGGAAATCCTTGGGAATAGAGGTAAGAAGCTATTTAAGTAATTTTCTTCCACATTTTAATTATCATATGACTAATATATCGTATGGAGGACCCCTAGAATTTTTCTACACATATAGAAGTGTAGAATGAGGGGTCGAAATGTAGTTCTAAGTCCAAGAACGGACTTAGAAGCTAAAATGACCGGTTCGTCGAAAAATAACCTTTTAGAGGTTATTTGTGTTGATATGGGTTTTGTGATGATAAAATCATGTTAGGAACTTGACTAAAGTATTTCTAGAGTTCACCATAGTTTCGCCGGAGTTCGCTGGAGTTTCATCGGAGTTTCGCCGGAGTTCAACTAAGAAGGGTATAACTTCTTAAAGCTCATTTAAGGTGAGTGGATGGCTTAATGTCTTGTAACTTTTGGGTTAAGCATGAGATTACCTAAGTAAATGATATATGTGTTCATGATGATGTTTAAATGAGATTAAACATGTGATTAGCCAAAGTAATTAGGCTTGTATGAAATGAACTATTGAAATATGCATGAATTGTGAAATGAAAATGTTTATAAAAACATATGTGATATGTTCAGAGATAAATGGTGCATAATATGGTTGTTTATAACTTAATGCATGTTGTGATTAAGTTTGACACACATTGGATTTAAAATAGCGGGTCAACTGAGAGTTGACCGGTTGTCCAGGGGCAACTGGCGCCGGTCATGCATAGAACTGGCGCCGGTTTGAACGGGTTTAGCCCAGTTCATGTTATTTGATTATGAACCGGCACCGGTCAGTTTTGAACCGGTGTCGATTTGGTCTTATTTTGCCTATATGCAAATTTTAATGCATGAATTGCATGGATGATTTGCTTAGGCCTTAAGACTTGGTTTAGTCTTGTTTATGGATTATGATATAGACCCTTTCTAGTATGATACGTGGTAGATCATAGGTCGGGTGGAGTGCCTAAGGATCGGGAGGTATCCTCAAAACTCGGTTATGTCGGGTGGAGTACTCAAGGAATGGGAGGTATCATCAAAACTCATAGATTACTGTTTAGTAAATCAAGACCGGGCAGTGTCCTCATGATTATTTGATTTGGACAGGAGGAGTCCTATACACTCATTTTTTGGATAAAATGTAAATATGTATATCCAGAAAATAGCAATACAATGCATCAAATGTATCAAAAACAAATAACTAACTAAGCTAGCGAGTTGACCTAACTAGTATCTACCGTATCCTCCCCCCCCCCCAACCATGCGGCAGGGTGTCATATACACTCATAGATCTATGGGTGGGTTGGGGTTTTAAGTCAAGGTCATTGACTACTATTATTTTTCCCAAATAAACAATGACCTACGGGTCGAGTATTTCCAAGTGTATATAAGTATCGACATGTATTTTGTAACTTGGGGGAAAGATGTATAAGTATATGTGTCACCCTATGTTTGGGTCTTATACTTGAAACGTTAGTTACTCTACATTTAGCTTGCTACTCGCTCGGTACTTGTACTGACCCCTTCGGGGGGGCCCCACCATTTCAGGTTGAAGCTAGACCTTGTTGTCTACACCTTTGCACGTTTTGCCATGAATACTTTTGTAATATTACTTTGTTTTGGCCTGCGAGCCTACGTTTTGCCATATGTGGCTTATGATTGACCGATGAATATTTTTTGCTATTCATTCAATCTATGATGTGATGTTGTTATGTATGTTTACTTACTGAGTATGGTATGAACGATGTTCATGAACGCCTTGTGTGATTAAGTAAAGTTGACTTGCGAGTGACGTCACTTGATCACACGACGGTTATACACGTGCTCGCGCGGATGCGGTTTGGGACGTGACAATTAAGGGTGCAACGAGGACGTTCCGTTCCTAAGTGGGGGTGATTGTAACACTTGAGATTTAATTTCAATGAATTAATAGTACTACTCATACCAACAAGGTGCATCTCCTTTTAAGGGCACGTTGTTAGCCAAGAACTCCAAAGTTAAGCATGCTTGCATGGGAGTAGTCTTGGCATGGGTGACCCCTGGGAAGTTTCTCAGGGCGCGCACGAGTAACTACCTTGGGCCTTACGGGGCGGGGTGTTACACACTCTGTCTCTTACTTATTGCTCTGGCTTCCCTTTAGGTTATTCCCCGAAATAACTCCTTGGTTAAGCTACCCCCGAGTACACTATCCATCAGCGATTTGTTTTCCAGGAAACAGGCTCCATGTGCTTTAGTACAAATAAAGATGTGAACATCTGACGCCGCCTTACCTCACCGTTGATGGGACCCTTTGCGGCAGGGGTGGAGGTAAGTATAGGGGTAGGGGGCCTTGAATTGCCTCCCCCCAACTTTTTATTTTTTAGTATTAATAGTATTAGATATTAAAATAATCACAAAAAAGATTGAGTCATAACTACCTGATAGGCTGATAGTAGTCTCCATTTGAGATTCTTTCGGGTAGAATATTTTGATAAAATTTTGTGAGCATTTTTTTTATGAAGTATAGATTATATCCATCAAATGTAAGTTTAGAATTCAATTGGAAAGTCAATTAAATAAATTATGGAAAAGAATTGTGTTTTTATTTATATTTTAACATAGTGTTTTTGAATGATTTATTTAATTGACTTTTCGGTTGAATTTTAAACTTAAATTTGGTGAAAATAATATAAACATTATGAAAAACACTATCTGAAAGTTTCATCAAAAAAATCTATCCGGAGGCAGCTCAAATACAAGCGGTCGGAGGCGGATTCTGTCAGGTAATTTTGAACGATCATTCCTCAAGAAATAATTACATATATGTATTATATGATTAGCTAGATATAGGACAAAATATGATCTATTCCTCAAATATATCTTATTTAGTTCTATGAAAAATAATTTGATTAAAATTTGACAAACAATTTCACACAAACAATCCAATATATGTTTTTGCTCTCTGAGGATGTTTTTGCTTGGATTGCTTTCAGTCACAGACTAGATCAATCAGACCAGATTTGGATAATTATAAAATATATCGACACCAAATATTTGTGAGACCAGACCGGACCAAACTGGAAAATTCGGACCAACTAAAAATATCGTGAAGGAATATAAGCAATTTTTAAAATTAGATTCAAACAATCCTAGACACTTAAATTTGATGGTCTTCTATGTATACTAAAGTTGAATAAGAGAAAGGTGGGATCAATTGACCTTGATAAAAGAGGATGATATTGCAAGTCTTATTTTAATAAACCCAAAAATTCCATACATCATAATCGAAGCTAAAGTTACCAAGTAAACCTTATTGCAAAAAATCTATTCCTCATATCTTAATTTAGTCCAGAGTGACCAAGTAAACTATTGCGAAAAGATTACACGGCGTCATGAATTTGCAACAGAAATTACATACGGCAGATTAATCTAAAACTCAAATTATCGAGTTTTTTCCCAAAACAATGTCAAATAAAAAATACTCTATAATTCCAAAGTATTGTCACGTAAAATCCAAAGTGACGGCTTTGGCAAAATATAATGCAACTCCCGTAAAACGTAGGAATGCACCTAACATGCAATGGGGTGGAGCTCCTCTCCATTTCACATCCATTTCTTTTTATCTTCCTACCCCACCTAAAATCCCTTCTTCTCTATCTCTCTCCCACTGTTTAATATATAATAGTGGGTCCCACCCAAATTAAAAAACTCATATTTTCTTCAAAGTGTTGTAACTTCTTTATTTGTATTCTGATTGTTTTAAAAAATATTCTAAAAATCTTAACTTTTTATTATCTTTCATACGACACCAATATTTAATATATAAAAATCAAAAAATAATTTAACACTTTAAAAAGAATATGTTTTATTTACAAAAAATATATCAAAATTCATTATGTTTTATTTAGGAATGCAATGTTTCATACTTCCTCCGTCCCAATTTGATTTGAAAAATTTCCTTTTTTGGTCGTCTCAAAATGGTTTTCCACTTTCTATTTTAGCTAAATAAATAAGAATAAAGTGACAAATTTACCTTTACTTTTACTTTTTTCCCATTAACTTAAAGGCACCTGCTTTTAGAAAGATGGTTAAAAGTGTAAAACGCAAGCATCATTTATTGTCATTTCTTAATCCTTGTGCCGGTCAAAGTTTGCAATTCAATTCGGGACGGAGAGAGTATATAAAATAAAAACAAAAAGTCTTAATTTGTGCCGTTTGGGATCGTTTTTTACCATGCACACAATTAATCAAACAAAATTGAACAAACTCGGTCACTTTTAGGTATAGGATATCAAAAAACACAATCTATGAGGCCTAGGATTAAATTATCAATAATTGTTCATGTGAGCAAATAAAATATAATGAAAGTGAATCTTGCGAAAGAGGCGGCGACCTTCAGGGCCGATCCAAGTCAGCTGAATTTTGTGGACTCCGGGAAGAAGCTGTTCTGTACGGCAAACGTTTCTCTAAGACCGTTGTTAAAGGGACCAAAGTCCTCTTTTTTTAAGCGTGGGGCATGTGAAAGCATAACGAAATATCCCATATATTTCGCCGACAGTTCGGCTTTTTTCAGTTCTTTAAAATACAACTAAATATATACGCTATATATATATTCTTTCTACTTCATTCTTCTCATCTTCCTCAAAATAAACAATGGCTTTTAGTACTATAATGTTCTTTCGTTTTCTTGTCGCATCATGGATTCTAAGTGTGTGTTTGGCGGATCGTGTGAATCTTAACGTTAGAGGAGTGACCTCCATTGCACAGACGGATGACAACTTCGTCTGCGCCACCTTGGACTGGTGGCCGGAGAATAAGTGCAATTACAACCAGTGCCCCTGGGGAAAGTCTGGTATCCCCAATCTGGTAATTAATATGATCTTTCACTTTCTTTTCATCTTCTTTGATCTCTTTGTTGGATAAGGTTTCAATCATTCTCACTTTTCTAATGTTGGAATTTCCTTTTTATTTTTTTGAAGGAATTGAAAAATAAGACTCTCATCAATGCCATCAAAGGTACGTAAGCTAATAGTTATGTTGAGTACACAACTTTATAAAGCATGAAAAATACCGAATGAAAGGGCGTTTTTGGTTATATATGCAATGAGGATGAGTTTCAACCTTGCGATTTCCTCGTTTGAAAGTTAAGAGTGTCACAATAATGTCATCGAATCGATGTTTGGCATCGGGATTGATTAACTATTCGCACCACTTTGATATTTGAGAAAACTTGTTTACATGTTTAGCCTCAGAAAGGAATTGATTTTTTACATGTCTATAACAACCACAATGTCAAAGAAATTTCATATTTTGTTAAATCTGTTGAATGATAACTCGAAGGAAATTTTCAACTTTGGATTGAATTTCTTATTTTAATGTTTACATCATGAACATTAAAAAAAATCTTTCGTAATATTGTTTGCATCCTAGAGAATTTTAGGGGCTGGAAAAAATAATGCGATCGAAGAACATTTATTTTCCTACATTTGAGTTTACTTTGGATAATATTGTCATGAAAATAAAATATGGATAACTTTTAATTCTCTTACGTATAGTGATGAACTGATGATAAGCAGTTTCCCAATTGGCTTTCCTGTACTTATTTTCCATTTCTTTATGGCTAATATGAAATAGCCATAAAGAAATATGCCCTTAGTAGGATTAAAATATGCCCAAAATTCAGTAATAGGAGTACAATCCTTTTATTCCCAAAATAGGACTAATATATGTTTTCTTCTTCTCATTCTACACCCTTTCTATAATTTCCAATAGATTTATTTTATTAATAAGAAAATCATAGTTTTATTTATAATAAAAATATAAAAAATAATAAAATATTTATAAAATAATAATGAAAACGTGAAAATATAAAATAAAAAAAAATAAAAAATAATAAATAAATTATTTAAATGGTTTTAAAAAAGTCAATAAAATAAAATAAAATACCTAAAAAATATTTTAAAAGTTTGTAGGTCACTGCCAACGCGTCCTCTACCTCCCAACACCACCAGCTTCGGTCACCGGAAAAAAATGTCATCTTGTGTAAAAATTCCACATTTCTCTGAAAATGTCATGAAGATGGCATTTTTACTTTTTGAAAATATCCAACTTTCTCTTGCTTTCTCTTCAAAATTCCTATCATGATGACATTTTTTCCCCAACTTGGCAATCTTTTTCGGCGACCGGAGGTGGTGGTGATGGAAGGTGGCTGAGGTGGTGGTTAAGGTCTATATATTTTTTATTATTTTTTACGATTTTTATTTTTTTATTTTGATTTTTTATATATTTTATAATGATTTTTTAAAAATCCTATTTTCAAGGACAATGGAAAGGGTAGAATAGAAAGAGTTAGTCCTACTTTGGGAATTTAAACTTTAAACTCCTATTGTTGCAATTATCCTTTTATTTACTCCTATTTAGGTAAATCTCCCTTTAATTTATGGTGTTTTTAATTTGTTACTCAAATTCCAATTTCGAATTTGCATTTTATTCATGTTTTGGGCTTTTTCAGTTTTTTGAGTTTCCGAGTTTTCCTGTAAAACTCATCTGGGTTTAATTTTTATTGTTACACTTATATTTTCAGGAATTCATGATTTATTATTTCAATTATCCCAACTTTAATTTTCCAATATCGAGAGTAGTACGTTATATTCTTCCTTCCCAGCTGTTAACTCCTTTATATCCATTTATTTAAGAATGGTACCGCAAAGACAAATACGGAGTAGAAGATACACCAAAAATATGGGTAATTAATGCTATATCCATGCATTTAAGACGCTTCTAATTACAAATATCGTCGTCTTTTTTTATTTTGAAATCTGTTTTTCCATTTCTTTTGCTTGAGCTCAAGAAATAAAAGTGAGCAAAGCCGCACCACTTTTGGTCCCTCAATGAGTCGTCATATTCAATTGTCATACTCGTGTTTCGGAAATTGTAAATTAAATGTCACTCATGACTCATGAATTGACAGATGTGTTGTAAATGGCATCTCAGTCGTTTTATAATCCATCTCCAATTTTGAACTATCAATAAATTCACCGGAGCTGACATTTGTAACACAAATTTCGAGGATACATTTACAATATCATAAACACGAGTATGACATTTTAATATGTTAACTAATTGAGGGATCAAAAGTAAGAGTGAGCACAATCCAAGACGGAATGAGAATTGAGTTGTCCTTGTACTGAACCTGGTTTATAATAACGGTTTGCAACGGGACGGGACAATACATTGTCCTTTTGTTGCCCCATTTAAATCGGTACTGAGACAAAACGGGATAGTTCGGGACATCCCAAAAAAATGTAGTGAAAAATTGCAATCCCTAACATAAAGCAAAGTTATTTGGAAAAAACTAGCGCAAAAAAACTCTGACAAAAGAACTGCAGCTAATTTAGAAAATTGTGAGAAAAAATGCAACTTACCAGATTAGATGCAAAAAAAAAATTGCAGACAAAAAAAACTCTAACACAAAAAAATATCAAGAGATATGTAAAACAAAACTTGATAAAAGAATACCATAAGAAGTGAAGCCTTTGGGAGTAAAAATCAATTTCTTTTTTGTAGATAGATGAAAATTCATAGTTTACACTAGGTAGTTTAGAGTTGTTTAGGTGTTCTCTTATTAAAACAACTAGTATTTTAATAATCATTGGTATTTGCCTATTTAGGTTGTGAAAAAGGATAATTATTACTTCCTCCGTTCTTTATTATCTGTCCCGCTAGCCTTGGGCACGGATTTTAATAGAAAAATGGTAGGATAAATGTTGAGTGTGTAGGGTAAATGATAAAGTATGAAATAGAGTATATAAAGTGGTGATAAAGCGATGATAAAGTAGGAAAGAGAGATAAAGTAGAAAAAAGTTATGATAAAGTAGGAAAGAGAAAGTAATTTGTAAAAAGTAAGAAGGATAAAAGTAATAAAAGTGAGGGTATTTTATCAAAAACTTTCCTAAAATAGAAAGAGAGGCAAATAAAAAAAAACATCCCAAAGAGAATGCGAGACAGTTAATGAAGAACGGAGGGAGTATTATTTGGATTAGATCATCAGTTGTTGGTAGACTCACTAACATACTACAAAAGGACAACTCTTTGCTATAAAATTACTAGTACAATTTTGGATTCGGGACAATGGGACGGACCGAGATATATTTTATCTGTCCCGGTACCGTTTTGTTTGAAACGGTTCAAGACCGGTAGGAGACAAAAATAATGTGCCCCAAATATAATAGGACAATTTTGAAGCGGAACCAGGGGCGGAGAAAGGGGGGGGGGGGGGTTAGGGTGGTCAGCCGACCCCGCTGAAAGTTCAAGAATGTAGAGCTCTGAAATACATTCGATTTGATATATTATGGGTCTTGTAACTCATTAGGAGTAAAAAGTTATGACTTCTGGAAAAATCAGCATCATCTTAACTTGAAATAAGCAAAATTTGATGTGTGACAGTGATTATATTCTTAAATTTAAAAATAAAACAACTTATTCAGTCATTAGTTGTGTGAACATTATGATACATTACCTATATATCAACACATTAACCGAAAGATTCTCATTAAACTATCATTTATCTCACCTACATATGAAACATTTAACTCAAGTAGTGTATAATAATTATTCATCATTTTGATACTGTATATAATTAAATTTTGACCCCGCTCACACATTTTTCTGGCTCCGCCCCTGAGCGGAACCATAACATTCTGGAACAGATCAACGAGACCGGGTCTTTTGCCACTCCTAATCAAAGTGCGATTTTCCCATAAAAGTATAAATTAAAATTAAATTAAACTAGCGTGAACAAATCTTGGATAAAGTCATAAAACCTTTAAAATTTGAACTTTATCTTTTGTTCTCTTCACTTTTCTTACGTATCTCTCAATTTTCAACTATACTTTTCTTCCTATATTTATTACTTTTCATGTGTTTCGTGAGTTCAAAACTGATTAATTTTGGCCTTTCAATATGAAGATTTTACTTGCAAAGTAAAGTAAGGTCGTCTTCTTTGATTTTGAAATAACTTTTTTTGAAAGGGGTTTTGAAATAATTAATAATTAATCTTCATTTTACTGACGTGTTTTTGCATTTCTTTTGTTTGGGCTTAGGAAATAAAAGTATAAACTAAAACTAAATAAAATTAAGGTGAACAAGTTTTGGAAATAATTTTTTTCTTCATATCATGGCAATTTATATCGTGCAACCGGCGCACCATGAGGATGGTGTGTCCGGTTGCAAAACGACGCAGTCAGTGGTCTGCAGTGGCTTGATTCCATTATTTTTTATTCTTTTTATTATTAAAAATTGTAATAACTTTTTTACTTGATATCCGATTTTTATAAATTTTATATCAATTTTTTTTCATGATCTATCAAATGAGACCAATATTGCTTATGTAATTTTAACAAATTATGGAACTATTATATAAATGATTATTGGATTATAAGGAAAACCGAACTAAATTTAATACAGAAAAATAATTGTGTAAATCACAATTTATCTTAAAATTGTGTATATAAAAAATTTATTGTATTATGTATTTATACATGTGAGTTACATATTTTTATACGTAAGTTACATATTTTACACGTAAAGTTACATATTCATACACACGAGTTGCATTTGGCCTGCCTGAACGTGAGTTACATATTTTTACACGTAAAGTTATATATATTTACACTTAAAGTTACATATTTATACACGCGAGTTACATATTTATACACACGAGTTGCATTTGACCTGTCTGAACGCGAGTTACATATTTTTACACGTAAAGTTACATATTTTTACACGTAGAGTTACATATTTATACACACGAGTTGCATTTGGCCTGACTGAACGTGAGTTATATATTTTAACACATAAAGTTACATCTTTTTACACGCAAATGTTAATATGTTAAAATTACATAGACAATATTGGTCTCATTTGAAAGATCATGAAAAATAAAAATTTTTGATATAAATTTTATAAAAATCGGATCACAAATAAAAAAATTATTAACAATTTTAAGAAAAGGAGAAATAAAAAATAACAAAGGGTGAATGGTGCTCACCATGCACCGATTGCACGGTATACGTACTGTCATATCATATCATTCTAAATCTATTATAGTATCTGCTGAAGTTAATGTCAACATTTTTATTGCGATAAAACTCGAACCTGTCTTGGAAATAACTTTTTAAATTAGGTATTTTATCGTTTTGTTCTCTCTTCACTTTTTGTAGCATCTTTCCGTTTTATATACACTTTTCTTCCTATACATATTACTTTTCATACGTTTAGTGATTTCAAAAGTAATTTTGGCCTTGTAATATTCAACTTTTGTAAGATTTTACTTAGCTATTGAGTATTTGAATATTCAAGATGTTGGTGTTAAAGAGATTACTATACTTAATCATGTAATTTCTCACCATTCAAGATGTTGCACCACACAAGAACGAGAATCGGTGAGTGTTTGCAATTGCTTCGATCAACTTCAAAAAAGGGATATTGTAGTGATTTTTTTTTACTCCAGGGGGTCTGGGGGAGGGGGGCTGGGGGGCCGGAATAATCAGTACTGAAACTCACTTCATTGAATTTCACACCCTTATGTGCCTAGCGGGTTTCGAACTCAAGACCTCCCACTAGGCACGGTAATCTCACAATCAACTGGGCTGGAATGCTTGGTTAAGTGATATTGTATTGATTTTAGAGAAAGTACTTAATAGTAAAAGTTGGTATTGTTTGAGAAAAAAGTAATTTTGAAAAAGCAAAATTTGGTAGTGTTTGGTTAAATAAGTGTTTGTGTAATAGAAAAAGTGAAAAGTAGTTTGAAGCACGCCTCTACCTATTTCCAACTTTTAGCTTTTAAGTGATTAATTTAAACAGAAACTTTCATTTGAAAACACTCTTTTCAACTTTTTTAAGCCAAAAACTAAAAAGCATTTTTTTAAGCCGTAGCAAACACTCCCTCGGACCCAATTTGTCACAAAAAATTGGTACGAAAGTTTATCATAAAGGCTAACCCTTACCTAATCACTTTATCTCGAAAAATCGACACAAGGCTTTGATAGTTGAACAAGGGTGTCATGTATCGGGGCCGAATGACCCTGCCCTATTTTTTCATGCGAAGTCATTTCATAATCAATAAAAATAACAATATGTGACCACCACAGTGTAAGTTCTTAATAAAGATATATCTAATGAAGTAGTTTTTAATGTCAATGTTGTAGCATTCGATAGTCTTAGATTGAGGATCGGGGGTTCTTTACAAGATCAAGTGTTGTACAACGTTGGTTATGGAGTGAAAAACTGCCAAGACTTTAACAGAACGGACGATGACATGTTTGGCTTCACCGGTGGTTGTCTTCACATGGAGAAATGGGATGAATTGCATCATTTGTTCAACAAAACCGGGTAATTAAAATCTTAAATAAAATCAATCCCCCCCATGTGATGCACTTTAGTAGTGGTGGTATGTTGCACTTTTTGAATTTTGGTTGAGCCAGACCAAACAAAAATAAGTTGGGATGACATTTTCGTAACTAAGTCAAAGTTTTATGTCTATGCGAAAGTTCAAAAGAGGAAAGTAATAGTGCACCATACTCAGAAAAAAGTGAACGGATTACAATTTTCACGGAATGCATGATTTTTATTTGATCTGCTCCCATGCATATATAATGTTTAAGTTAATTAAATAAATATGTGTTTATGTGTGCAGCGCTATTATGACTTTCGGCTTGAACGCTTTATTGGGAAGGCAAAAGTCTAATAACGGTACTACCCTTTGGGTGGGTGATTGGAACTCCCAAAATGCTAGGGATCTTATGGAATACACCGTGTCACGAGGGTATAAAGTTGATTCTTATGAACTTGGTAAGATTAATTGAACTCTTTTTTAATTCTTGTAAATTCAATGAGACAAAATGATGAGACAAATAATCAAATCACAATAGCATCTTGGCTTTGATACCACAATATGACTAGTAGTTTCATCTCTAGAACTTTGTGAATCGATTTAGCAGATGAAAGTAAATAAATAGAAGTCTGTGATTAAAGTCAAACTTGCATTATTCCAGTTAATTATTTGTTAGGAATAAGGTGTCATCCTTTTGTAAATTGATTTCATATTATAAATTACCAAAAGAACCTTCTACATATATATATATATATATATATATATATATATATATATATATATATATTAACACATAATCAAATATTTATTTTCCTTAATTGCGGATCAAGCCTTTACAAAACATGACTTTCTACATTTCTTGTAGAAAAATAATTCATTGTGATATTTATTTCAGGGAATGAATTGTGTGGCACTGGAGTGGCCGCAAGAGTAGAGGCAGATCAATATGCAAAAGATATGATGACTCTTAAGAAGCTTGTTGAAGAGATTCACCCGAACCCTACAACCCGACCAAAGATTTTGGGTCCGGGTGGATTTTATGAGGAGAAGTGGTTTAACACCTTCCTTCAAACCGCAAGTCCTAATGTTATTGAAGCTTTGACACACCACGTCTACAATCTTGGCTCAGGTTTGCAATCAAATTTATAGAGAATTAGTGTTTAAGTATTGTTGAAGAGTCATAAAAATGCATATGTAATCATATGTGCTAAACTGCATTTATTTTACATATTAACTGTCTACATTTTATTTAAAGTCTCTCTTCATTTTTAGTTTTTGTATCTTACTAAAAATGACATGCATTTCGCCAGAAGTCATTTTGAACATGATGTAACTAAATTGGTTTTCATAAGTCATTTTGTTTTGGAAAAAATGCATGTAATGTTCTAAATGCTTTCTGGAGTATTAAACTCTTGTGGTTAAATTAAGAGAGTAGAACTCACATTGTTGTTTTGTAGGAGATGACAAAAATCTTATCAATAAGATCCAAGACCCATATTATCTTGACCAGGTTGCCCAGACATACAAGGATGTCTCCACCAGCGTCCAACGTTTTGGCCCATGGACCGAAGCTTGGGTAGGAGAATCGGGTGGTGCTTACAACAGTGGTGGTAAAGATGTTTCCCATTACTTTGCTGATGGCTTCTGGTAAATTATCTTTCACAAATTCATTTGTAGTTGTTTTTTCTTTGGATTCATAAAGTAAAAATTAAAGAATGAGAAATTTGACATTGTACCAAATATTTTCATCCGACATCATTCAAAGTTGTAAAACGAAAAATACTTCTTAAACTTTACATGTAACATATATAGACATTTCACCATACAACAACTTTAATTTGCGTTGGAGGGAGTATCTCATTTAAATTTAGTATGGTATCTTTTGTTTTCACACAATTTTACTGTCTTAACACCCATACTGTGAGTAAGCTAAGAGAAGAATTACAAAATTTTAATCTATAGGTACTTGGATCAACTAGGAATGACATCAACCTTCAATCACAAGGTGTACTGTAGACAAGCTTTGATTGGTGGAAACTATGCTCTGCTGAACACAACAACTTTCATCCCAAATCCAGATTATTATGGTGCCCTCTTGTGGAATCGCTTGATGGGCAAGAAAGTATTGGCTGTATCCCACAATAGCTCTCCTTACCTCCGAGCTTACACTCATTGTTCTAGACATGGGGTAAAGTTTCCAATTCTTTTCTTTTAATGTTAAAATTATCCTACATTATTAAATGCTACTATTTGAAAATAGATCGATTTTCGCTCGTAATATTTTTAATCTCAAACCAAACAATATTATATTAGAGTAGACTTAAATAGATTAGACCGGACTATATCAGATCAGAACTAGATAATAATAGAATAAATAATACCATACCTCAATTAATCTCAAACCAAACATTATTATATTTGGTGACCTACTGAGGTTCCACCTGGTATTGCTTTTTGCGTTGAACTAGTTTTTATATGTCCCAAGTCCTAACACCGCTTGAAGCAAAGTGTAGTTTGGACAAAAGATGACTTTTTGAAATAAGGCCAATCGTTGATATGAAAGGCAAAAAGTCACCATAATGCAAAAGTAAGTTGATGATGATTTTTAAAATACAATACTAGGATATTTATCAGACCATATCATATTAGATCAAATGTAAAAATTCAGTGTCCGGATCAAACCAGAAAATTTTGGTCCAATTACAAACATCATGAAATTCCTAAAAGTTATTTACCGATATTAAATAATTTGGATTGAGTTATTTGTATGTAGTTGTTCATTTCTGTGTTTGTTTGTTTCAGAGCGGGATAGCTGCACTATTGATAAATTTGTCAAACTCCACGACCTTTGAAGTCTTCCCCATAAATGATATGAATTTGTACCCTGGAAATGACATGAATCCTGGGACTCCTCAAAGTCTTCAAAGTATTGATAATATGCCTGAGAGAGAAGAATACCATCTGAGCCCAGAAGGAGGGAACATCCAGACTGATATTGTTCTACTAAATGGAACACCATTGAAGCTTACAAAAGACTATGATATTCCCACTTTGAACCCAATGTTGGTTGACCCTACCTTGCCAATCATTGTTCAACCTGATTCCATTGTCTTTGCCACCCTCAAAGGCTTTAAAGCCCCTGCTTGTGCTTAGAAAATATCATTTCTGTTAGTTTCGTTAGGTTTTATTTGTTTCTCAGTAGCAGGAACCAATAGCATTATATTTGTTTACATTTTTCTTTTGTTTAATTTGGTTAATTAGTCATTGAATGAAGAAATGTTTAGTACCAGTTCACTGCTTTTAATCATAGATTTAAAAAATCCCTAGTTACTGCCTAGTTTCATTCTCAATTTCGAATTTAAAAAGTTCACCTTAAGAAATCTAGAAAATTATTTTTGGGTTCGTTGACTTGCAATAAGATAAAAGATTGATACGTTGATAAATCATTTTCTTGAAAAATTACCCTTTTCTTTTGGCAAATTATACCGTGGGATCGGCTCACCTTCCGCATGGTGTGCCGATCCCACTTTTACAAAGTTATGTTCTTTTCTTTTCTTCCCTAGAGCTTCTTCCTTCCTTTTTCTTTTGTTATTCTTTCCTTATTCTTCTTTTCTTTAATTCTTCTCCATTTCCCTCAAATTAAAATATTAAAAATTTAATTGTAGTTTTACTTTTCCTTATCTTGAATTTAAATTATAATTGAATCTATTTTTTAATTCTTTATCAATACATAACAAAAAGTTTAATAATCTAAATAAAATAAGTACACTACATTTCATATTCATACACTATTTTTTGTAATATCTTTTTTAATTCTTTGTAATATCTTTTTTACATTTCATAAAAATTTTTTGTAATATATTTTTATATGCATACACGTCTTCTATAATATTTTTTTTATCACTTTTATATGTTTTTAGAGGTCTTTAAGATATTGAGTTTGTTTATTTTGATTCTAGCTTGGAGTTACATTTGATAATATACGAAGTTACATCATCTTATACTCCAGTTACAAGTTATTATGCGTGAGTTATATTTTGTTATGTGTGAGTTACATCTTATTATACGCGAGTTACATACTTTTATTCGTGAGTTACATGTAATTATGTGTGAGTTATATCTAATTATATGTGATTTTTTACTTATCTTTATCTTGAACTAATTAAATTATAACTGAATTAATTTTTTTCTTTACCAATTTAATACAAATTTTTATTAATCCACATAAAATAAGTATATTGTATTTCATATTCATACACTATTTCTTACTTTGCATACTTTTTTTTATAATTATTATACACTTTTTTGTAAAATATTTTTTATATTCATATACTTTTTTCTATAATATATTTCTTCTCTTTTATACTCCCTCCGTCCCGGTCGTTACTTCCAACTTTCCTTTTTGGGCCATCTCAATTAATTCCTCCAACTTCCACTTTTGGAAAAAATATGTGGTTCACATTCATTCACTTTTTTCTTACACAACTACGACCATACATTTCCACTTTATTCCCACTTTCTAAATTTGCGAGCCAAGTCAAACTTGGAAGAAATGACCGGGACGGAGGGAGTATGTTTTTTGTTTTATAGTCATTAGGCTTGTTTATTTCGATTTAAATTTGAAAAAAACATGAGAATAATATATTTTTCGCATGTGTGAGTTATGTTTATAGACAATTTCTATAATTACATTTGATATTAAATGGAGTTACATCTTCTTATGCACGATTTACATCGCCTTGTGCGAGAGTTACATCTTTCTATACGCGAGTTACATTTGAGTTTGCCTCAACAAGTTACATTTTGGATACACTAAAGTTAGATTTTCAATCAATGCGGGTTACATTTTCTGTAATACGAATTACATCACAACATAGAGCCTACTATTGAAACGAAAGAATCATTGTTATGCAAAAAGAAATTATTTTCCAAAAAAAACTCCGTTTGTGTTTTGGCAAAAAATATATTTTTAAAAACATTTTTATGGACTTAATATTAAAAAAATATATTCACCGTTTATGTTAACCCCTGCTATTGAATAAAAAATTACTTTTTTTGCAAAAACAAAATGAGTTTTTGGCCAAAAAAATGATTTTTTGGACAAAAAAAAAGAAAAAAAAATATGTCCTTAATATTAAAAACAAAACATATAAACTATTTAAGTAAAGTAATCGAGCAATTAGACTCCTTGTTTTCATTAAAATCAATGTTTTATTTCTTAGAATTCGTATTAGATAAGTTACATTTTGACTGGCTGTTACATTTGTTATTAACGTTAGTTACATTTTGTTACACACGAGTTACACCTATTCCGCTACTGGGACGATGAAAAAACAAAAAAGAAGTTATTGTTCCCGCGCGTGAACAGTAACACATTTTTTTGTGGGAGCAACATGCTCACCGTGGGCTGCTCCCACTGTATACCAACTGTTTTCTTTTTAGTACGGGAACTCTATCATTTCCCTTTGAAATATTATAGAAAAACCACTATGTATATGTCACGTGAGTGGGTGTAATTATGTATAACAAGAAAATCCAGAATATATATTTATGTCAATCAAAGGGGGCCTAAGTCTCCAAAATAGAGCTCGAGGATTCCCTTCAATCAGAGACACATATGTATACCACCATCCTTTATACAAAAAGATCAACTAAAAAACTAGGTGACTATAAAGTTGATACTATAGAGTTTTATTGGAGTATACTATAAAGTTGATACAAAAAGTTGAACACTGGAAAAAACTTCAAAAGATAGATGACAGGAACATATACTCATCGGCTGCTTATCTCTCTCACCAACCAATCCAAAGTTGGGTATGCAAAATACATCACCAAGGAAGCGAGGACCGCAAAGAGGATTGTGATAGCAAAGTACAACATAAGAACGACAGCGCTGCAAGGAATGGCAAAGATAACCATAAAAACAAGCACCAGCACCAATGGGAACCTCGATGTGAAACGAATGAAGAATTCAATGGTTTTGTGAAGAGAAAACTGTGGTCGTCTCCTGTAAGCACCCCTAGCACCGCGGACGCCTTAGCCATTGGTCCTGACTAAGCGGTTTATGTCACCACCACCAACAACAAATGAAGAATTGGCATTCGAAATAGTGGTGAAGTACAAATAAGGATTTATGTCTCCTGTATGCACTCTTTGAAGCGACTTTCCTGAGTCATCCAGAAACAGCCTCCATGTGCTTTAGTACAAATAAGGATACGAACATCCGACGCCGCCTTACCTCATCGTTGATAGGACTCTCTGCGGCAGGGGCGGAGGTAAGTATAGGGGTAGGGGGCCTTGCCTCCCCCAAACTTTTTTATTTATTAATATTACTAGTATTATATATGAAATAATCCCAAATACGATTGGGTCATAACTACCTGATAGACTGAAGAAGTCTCCATTTGAGATTCTTCCGGGTAGAATATTTTGATAAAATTTTGTGAACATGTTTTTTATGAAGTATAGATTATGTCCATCAAATGTAAGTTTAAAATTCAATTGGAAAGTCAATTAAAAAAGTTATGGAAAAGAGCTGTGTTTATATATATATATATATATATATATATATATATATATATATATATATATATATATATATATATTGTAACATAGTGAATTTAAATGATTTATTTAATTGACTTCGCGATTTAAAACATCATGAAAAACATTCTCACAAAGTTTCATCAAAAAATATATCCGGAAGCACCTCAAATACAAGCGTTCGGAGGCGAATTCTGTCAGGTAATTTTGAACTATCATTCCTCATGAAATAATTACATATATGTACTACGGAGTATATGATTAGAAATAGGACAAAATATGTTTTATTCCTCAAATATATCGTATTTAGTTCTATGAAAAATAATTTGATTAAAGTTTGGAAAACAATGAGTAAATAAGTCATATTTTGAAAATAAAACAATGATAATCATATTTATGAACTTTGTTTTAGTTATATTTAAGGAATTTTTTCTTTATTGTTTGTGCTTTTTCTTGGTCCTCTATGACTAAATCCTAGTTTCGTCCCTGCTTGACGGGATTGGGGTAATGTTGTTGTGGTTCGGCAAAGTATGAAGAATTTGCTTAGATTTCACAAAGAGCCAGCAGTGAAATGAGAGAAATCAAGAGAGGGTGAGCCCTTTGATTTTTTTGTAAATTGGGAACGGAGGAATGTCATGACTCATGAAGCATAAAACTCGAATATTTTATTTGAAGAAGAAATAGATGACCGAACCTTGTTAGGACTGCAAGCCTAAAATGCTATACCGAACAATTTTGTTTGTTGTAGGTTAGACTTTAAAAAGTTTATAAAATCTGAAACACTTTGGAGCATTTTTCTATTTGCGGAATAAATAATAGTCATGAAGTGATTGTTTGGAGGATTTGTAACACATGCTCATTCAATCACTGAAGCTTGTTGTCCAAAACATACTCTCTGCCTAAAAATATGTAAGGGTGGGTATATGTATATCGGTTTTCAGTTCGGTTTTATCGATTTTGATTCGATTCGATTTAGAACGGGTTGAAAAAATTATTATCAAATAAAACCATACTATTTCTCAATTTGGTTCAGTATGAATTTTTTATTTTTTAATATCACGTGAAGGTTTTATTAATTTTTTTTAGTTCGGTTCAGTTTTATTCAGTTTTGCTCGGGTGCAGTTCGGTTTAAAATAGCTTGGAAGAAATATTATCAAACTCAAACCAAATTGCATATTGTTTAGTTTAGTTCAATTGGTACGCTTGGGTTCAGTTAAACCAAACCGATATCCCCACTCCTAGTTTTCAGGATTTGGTTTTGTGTGAAAGCTTCTGGTTTAATATGTATTATCTATTAAATGTTTTTAAGTTATCAGTTTATCAGTCAATTTTTCACCAAACACAACTTTTGATTCAACGTGCTAAATTATGTAATATTCAAAATAAGTAAAATTGAAATTATTTTTGTGGTTGAATTGTCTGAAGTTTTGTAGTGTTGAGAACCATTTTAGTTATTTTTCTTTTAGTTTTTCTTTATTTTAATAATAACAATATTTTTCAGAATTCAGCAAAATCAACCATTTTAGTTAGAATTTCACTAATTTCACCAAAATCAGTCAGTTTCAGAGTTCAGCCAATTTCATTGATATCAAACGAACTCTCAATAATAGAGATACAATTTAATGACAAAAACGTGTCTATGAGGCTTTTTAATGTATCCACTAAACTTACCAACAATACAAATGATTTTTCATCCCTCCGCTCAAAGTGAACTACACGAGTACACGGCTACACCAAGATTAAAATAGAGCATAATACTCCCTCCGTCCCGCAATTATATT